TTGTTGTATGGACTTTTGGAAAATATTTTTAACTAACTTTTCAAGATAAAAGATGCTTTTCAAGTTTAAATATCATTTTTAAAAGTTATTTTTATATTTGATTAGATCATTGCATTAGAGTGACTTTTAATACACAAAATTATTTTTAAAATATAGAAGGATCTTGAGCTTATGCATTCATTGTCAAATATCAAAGTATTAGTACATTTACATTTTATGTAAGAAATCAAGTTTTTGATCTTACCCCGAAATTTGGCTCTTAAATTCTTGAATGTGTGACTTCGATCTTGACTTCTTTTATGAGTCTGACTTGTGATGATAACTTTTAATCTTTTGATGACCACCGATCAATTTTTCATCGCATGCTTTGAAAAACTATGATCACTTGAATTCAATTTGCATAGATATCTTTGAGAGCATATTGGATGTGTTCAACTTAATGACGTGTCCTCGCGTTTCTTCATAGAGGATACTGATGATCTAGGTACTTGACTTTATTATCGGCAACTAAATTAAATTTGTATTTTACTAACTCGTGGGTCAATTTTCATGTTCACTGCACTTTTGGTGGGGGTACAAGAATCTCTTCTTTTGCTTTCTCCTCAATGCCTAAATGAGATTTGATTTGGCTGTCACCTTCAATCCACTCAAAGTGATTGGGTCCTCTAATAGTTGATATGACGCCATATTCAATTAGCCGACTCTAAATGCTTCTGTGCTATTTGTTTTATGTGAAGGATAGTCCACAATTAGGTTCACGCCCTTAAGATTGCTACTTTCAGAAGGATCATGCATGCTAAATGTCATCATACTTGACATAAAGGTCTACATAATATCACGTAACATTCGATCACTGTCAAATCACCTCCCGCCACATACCTTTCGGCACTGCTTCTGGACGTTTTCTTTTGGCAAACTGGTTTTTCCCTTATCTAAAAATGAGTAATCCTTTATTTTATTTTAGAAAAGTTGGTCTATATTACATAAATTGTAGTAACTTAAATTTATATATTAGCTCCCTAATTTTAAGACATAATGTGTACTTATAAAGGTTAAACATACGTATTCAATTAAAAGCATATAGTAGAGTTATCAACACGAGTAATGTGTATAGATTTACCGTAAACAAGTGTCTCCTAACGAATTATTGGTGCAAATTGTACGTTTTATTTCTATTCATTCGCACTCCAAGTGCATCTATAAATGAACCGAAGAAATAAGAATATTGACCCAGTCAACTAATATAATATAGTAACACGGTCTCGTTGAGCTAAACCAATGAATTGATCATTTTTACGTGCTAGACTCACGAAGTATCCTACATTTTCAAATATATAAAAATATACATAGGACCATTACAAGAATGGAATAAATACCAAGGTATCATTGTTCAAATTTTTGTGTCTAACTCTCAACTTGTCAGAACGGAGGAGTATTATTCTTTGAATACTCTTTATTGAAAATTACTGCTTTCTTAACTTAGGTAACAGCATGAGAAAAAGAGGGATTTTTTTTTTCAATAAAATGAAGGAATGATGAATTCTTGTATTTGTAATTATAGTTGTTTTGGAGTAGTTTTTAGTGAAAGAGTCATGTTTCTACAAATCCTCTATAGTGGGATAGATGATGGGTTATATTACATAAAATATACTTTTTTTAGTCATGAATTAAGTTAGTTTGACACGTTGGCACAAAAAGCGAGTGTATTTGCACGCATGACTATCCAACTTCTTTTTTGTGTTGATGTTGCTATCTGACTTCTACCATTAGATCTAACTTTGTTATCGACATTGGTTAGCATTGAATGAGCCTTTTGCATTTGATTGGATTGCGCTTGTTGCTCGTTTAACTCGATAAATATCATTGTCTTGCCCAAGTTAATATTTTCTAAGATGTGTCCTCTTAAATTGAGCCAACAAGCTCGGTTATTCACCACATTTTCGTTATGATTTTGAGTTGAACTTAATTTTTAATCGTAAAGTTAATTGAGTCGTCTCGATCTTAGTTTAGACATACATTTTAAACTATTATGTGAATGATAGCCCCCATGTCACATCTCCAAGTGCTAAAAGGGGAATGTGGAAAAACTCAAGCTTTGCTTGAGGCTATCGCTTCAAGGGGTTCAAATCCTAAAATATGAATTTGGCCCTTGGTTAAGTGTAAGTGTATAAGCAGCCTTCTACCATGTACTATTGGGGGCATAACCTGTTATTTACCTCCTTCACCAAAGCTCAGGACATGACAAGGCAAGTGGAGGCCGTCAAGGATGCGGTTCATCCTTTATTATGTGAATGATATATCAAATTGAATTTATACCTCGTGACATATCATTTAAAGATGGATTGACATTAATTATTTATTGGACCGCAAGAGATTTAGTTATTTATGTTAAAAATGTTGACCTAATATGATTGATAAATTAACTATAATTTTTGAAAACTAAATTGTAAGATAAGAATGAAAGAGGAAGACTGATGGTATACTCTAAAGCTAGCAATTTGTAAAATTATTTTTCCCACTTAAAATCATATGAAATTATATATGTTCAAACAATCCGACGACTCAGATGAAATTATATATGTTCAAATTGGTTATGTAGTAATAGAATGAGCTAAGCCTTATTTGATGATGGAAGTTCAACGATAACTATAGGTCAATGACTCCTTAAGAAAAACTCATTCAGTCCGTCCCCTGACTGGTGGGTATAGAGGGTCTTTGTATAAAATTTAGAAACGAATAAATTTTATGAGAATATTGACCCTCATTTTATTTTTTATATCGAATAAACTTATGCACAAATATTTACACAGTATATAATTTTAGATAAATAAAGTCTATAGATTGAAAAAAAAAGAAAAAAAAAAAGGCTCCTTATGTTAAAAAACAAAGGAAAATAATGTTTATAAGTCATTGGATGTCCCCCATTTGATTATGGGAAAAACTCACAAGTCGGAGATTAAGTATGAGACAATTTAATTTTCAGGTTTTAAGTTTCAAAATCGAAAACTCAGGTATGAATTACTTAATAAAACTACTTTATTAATTAAATATATTAATGTCACAATATACAATTAATGGTCACATGTGTGTACTTAATAGTCATAACTTATTTATTGATCACATATTATCAAATTAATTAGTCACAAATTATTTCATGGTCACAATAAAATTTTGATAGGTCACAAATAAAAAAATTTATAGGTCACAGTTTATTTGTCGATCATAAATTTTCAAATTAGTTGATTACAATTTTAGGTCACAATTAAATACTTGTCACAAATAACCAAATAGTTGGTCACAGAATAATTAAAAATAATTGGTCATATGCATCAAATAGTTTATCACATACCACCACCATGACCACTTGTGGTCACCACTACCAACACAGTACAATAGCAGCAGCTAGAGCTGTCAATGGATTTGATTTTGATCCGAATTCGACGAAATTAATGGGAGATGGATTTAGGGTCCCAGCCCGATAACCCGATCAAGATCCGAATCCGATAATCCGTTAATTAAATGGATCAAATCACGATCAAATTGTCCTTTTTTAAGAAGATTTCGGTTTTCGTCTCCGTTCTTTTGCTAATCAAGAAACGATCATTAAGCTTGTTTTAAGTTTTATTTTATTTTTATAAATTAGCATAGGTTAGAAACTCTAATACAGGGTTTAATCTTTGTTTAATTGAAATGAATTTGTGTGAATCTTTTTTATGGATGTCATGCTGCCAAAGTGTAATTCTTTCTGGTGTTGTCCATTGACTAAAAATCTAGAATTGGGTGGTTAGAGTTGTTGGAATTAAATTACAAAATCTTTTTTCTTTAATTCAAAAGAGATATGAACACATTGAAATTGGACATTATAGTATGTGAATTTGATGTTCTGTAGACTTGTGGCAGAAACTCATTGCCTGCCTATGGCGACAATAATACAAAGTTACAAAGGAAATTTTGGACTTTAAGGTTGATAAAAATATGAAATGGCTTACAGTAATTAGTATGGACATTGCATTATTTGTCTTGCCGTCATCAATTATTGATTAGGGTAAATATTGACTTCTTGGTTAGAAACTAAATTTAACATTAACGTGTCTATTCCAGAATCGAACGTCGATTTTGGGTTATTTTAATTAGTGCCGATTCTCTATCTAAACAATTGAGAAATATAATTCGAATTTGAAGCGTCATATTTATTTTCAAAATTAATGCATTTTCTCATACGTAAGCGAGGTTACATCTAAAAATTAAAAAATTGTATTTATGCTACAAAATAGATACAAAATACAAATGCATCCTACTCATTGACACATTTTGGCCACAAGTTTTAAATATTCATACACAATACCTTGTATTAACGAGATTTCGTATATCAAATTTTAAACATCAATAAAGAATATATTAATGAGTTTTATTATACTTTTTTTTGTTAGAATATCTCATTCAACCAAAAATGAGGATACAAACAAATTCATTTTCTCAACCCAACCCCACAACTTTGCCCCAAAAAATTATAAAAAAAATAAAAATATATAAAGAAACTAACAAAAAGAGAGGCAAAAAAAAAAAAAAAAAATCACAATTGCCATAAAACAAGTGGAAAAATCACCAAAATAAGTTGATTATTTTAGCCTAATTCTTAATCCAAATAATTACTTCTCTTGATTAATCACTTTTCCATTTTTACCACATGATAAATCCATTCTCTTCCCAAGTACTCACTTTGCACACTACCCAACCTCGTCTCCTTCACCCACCGCATCCCTACCCTCCCCAGATACACTATTCACCTATACATACACGCTCACACACACACACATATATATACACACACACACATACAACTGTATGTATTTCCTTGCTTCCGATCGTTTTTTGACCAAGATTGTTGAGTAAGTCTTTCTATCTCTACATTTATTCAGAAGAAGATAGATACAGCTGATATATGATTGGATATATGTGTACATATATGCATGCAATTGAGTAGTTATTGAATCATTGATATGGGGCATAAGAAGCGAAATCTCGCTCCACGCTCCAAATCCTCACAGACACCGTCCGAGGCGGCTCCGTCAACTGCAATCGTTGCTGTCGACGGTGGTGCAGCGTTTTCGGATAATATACAAAATTCCACCACGTATATAGCTGAAAAAACCGAGGCCCTAAATTTGGAAAGTAAGAACGATGCAAATCCTTCATCGTATAGTACAATCAAGTTCGAATGTGAGAAGGCACTCACGACACTGCGGCGGGGGAACCATACCAAAGCCCTAAGGTTGATGAAGGATTTATGCTCTAAACACGAGAATTCCCCTCACTCGGCTTTGATTCACCGTGTTCAGGGGACTGTGTGTGTGAAAGTGGCCTTGATTATTGACGACCCGAATGCCAAACAGCGGCATTTGAAGAATGCGATTGAGAGTGCGAGGAAAGCCATGACTTTGTCCCCGAATTCTATTGAGTTTGCTCATTTTTATGCGAATTTGTTATATGAGGCGGCAAATGAGGGAAAGGAGTACGAGGAGGTGGTGCAAGAGTGTGAGAGGGCATTGGCAATTGAGAACCCTGTGGACCCTGCCAAGGAGAGCCTGCAAGAGGAGAGCCAGCAGAAGTTCTCCACATCCGAGGCTCGGGTTGCCCATGTGCAAAGTGAGCTTAAATCTTTAATTCAGAAGTCGAACATTGCATCAATTTCAACATGGATGAAGAATTTAGGCAATGGGGAGGAGAAGTTTCGTTTGATTCCAATAAGGAGGGCGGCGGAGGACCCAATGGAATTGAGATTGGTGCAGGCAAGAAGGCCAAATGAGATTAAGAAGGCAACTAAGACTCCTGAGGAACGACGGAAGGAGATTGAGGTGAGGGTAGCCGCAGCTCGGCTTTTACAGCAGAAGTCCGAGTCTCCCCAGTTGGGAAATGGGGAAAATAGTAACAAATTGTTGGATTCTGGTTCTGGGTTGGGGCAGAGAGTGGCAGAAAGAAGGAAAAATGGGAATGTGAGGAAAAATTCGTCTTCGGCTGAGAGAAGGGACTGGGTCCGTTCATATTGGAACTCGACAAGTTTGGATGGGAAGAAAGAGTTGCTTAGAGTTAGAATATTGGATCTCAAAGCTCATTTTAGTCTGTCAAAGGACTCGTCTGCAAGCGAGGTGCTTAACGAAGCTTTATCTTTTGGTGAATCAAACAAAGTATGGAAATTTTGGAAGTGCTGCCGCTGCAACGAGAAATTTGCCAATGCAGAGTTGTACATGCAGCATGTCGTGCAGGAGCATATGGGGACTTTGATACCCGAAATGCAAATGATTTTACCCCAAGCTGTTGAGAATGAGTGGGCCGAGATGCTTCTTGACTGTTCTTGGAAACCATTGGATTTAACTGCTGCAAGTAGGATGCTCGAAAAACAGTCAAAATCTGAGGTACCTGATTTTCATGAAGACTCGTACACAAGAAATGACTCAGATGATTCCAAAGAATGTTTTGTTGACTCTTACTGCAGTGAATTTGAATGGGAGTCATCAATTGGAAAGAAGAAATTGGGTGATAATTGCAATGGTAGTACCGAGGAGAGCAGGGAATTTGAAGATGTTGAGTGGATGCATTGTAATGGTGATCAAGGCAGTAAGGAAATTCTCAATAATGAAAAATGGCCTTTGTCTGATGATCCTGAGCGTGCAAAGCTTCTTGAAAAAATCCATGCCATATTTCAGGCTCTTATCAAACAGAAGTATCTTGCTTCAAGTCATCTTAGGAAGGTTATTCACTTTGCCGTGGAGAAGCTGCAGGGTGTCTTTGGTTCTCAACTTTTTAATTCCAATGTGGACCAAACACCTCTGTGCATATGCTTTTTAGGGGCTTCAGAGCTCAAGAAAATCTTGAAATTTTTGCAGGAAATTTCTCATTCTTGCGGACCAGGAAGATATTCTGATAGAAATAATCCCACAAGTGATTTAAACAGCGGCATGCATGATGTTGACCTGGAGACATTAATTATTAGTCCAGATGCTTCATTTTTGGTGCTTGATGAGCATTTTCTTCCCTGCAAGCTCTCTCCCTCATCATGCGATGATGCTGATAGTAATGGTTCTAGTGCAGCAATTGCATCATGTGTTAACTTTGAGAATGGCGTTGTACTTGATTCAGATGCATTACTATCTTGGATATTTACTAGTCCCTCGAGTGGGGAACAATTGGCATCGTGGAAACGTGCAAGAGAAGAGAAAGTACAGCAAGGTATGGAAATTCTTCAGTTGCTTGAGAAGGAATTTTACCATCTTCAGGGCTTGTGTGAGAGAAAATGTGAGCATTCAAGTTATGAGGAGGCGTTGCAGGCTGTGGAGGATTTTTGTTTGGAAGAGGGCAAGAAAGGAGATCATATTACGGATTTTGTTCGCCAAAGTTATGACTCTGTCCTGAGGAAGCGTCGAGAAGAACTTGTTGAGCGTGACAATGAAATGACCACAATCAGCAATAGGTTCGAGTTGGACGCAATCACAAATGTTTTAAAGGATGCTGAATCCTTGAATGCCAACCAGTTTGGCTTTGAGGAGACTTATACTGGTGTGACGTCTCATCTTTGTGACATAGAATCTGGTGAAGATGACGACTGGAGAATGAAAGACTATTTGCATCAGGTGGACTCTTGCATAGAAGTTGCAATACAGAGACAGAAGGAACAAGTTTCTATTGAGGTTGTTGCATTAGTTCTGCTTTTATTTTTTCCATCAAAAGTAAGGGTCTGCTTCGCTGCTTTATCTCACTTTTTTCAGTGATACAGCTAAGCAAAATTGATGCAAGAATCATGCGAATTATGACGGCGATGCACCAGTTCAAAGTTAAGCTTGAGCCTGCAGCTGCCGATGATTTTCAAACAATCTTAGTGCCTCTAGTGAAATCATTTTTGCGGGTCTGTGTTTTAAATATAACATAAGTTTTATAAACATTCCATCAGCTTCCTTGTGACCTTGTGCAGCGAGTTTTAGGTTTCTTTTGTTCACCTATTTCCAGGCACAACTGGAGGATATGGCGGAGAAAGATGCCACAGAGAAATCTGATGCAGCCAGAGAAGCATTTTTAGCAGAACTTGCTCTAGATTTTAAGAAGGGCGTTGGTGGAGGTGAGAACTTAAAACATGTGCATGAGAAGACGAAGGATAAGAAAAAGAACAAGGATAATCGGAAAAACAAGGATTCAAAGGTGAACCTTATGATCAGACTTTGTATGGTTTATTATCTTCGACATGTTTATTATAAGAACTGTAAGGATGTGAAGTTACTGTTCACTTGCTTTACATTCCAACTACTATTTTGCAGGTCATTGGTTGTAGTGAGCTGAATATGCTTTGTGATCAGACTTCTGAAGAGATGTATGTCTCCTTTTGCACAGAGCATTTTAATGTGCACTTTATTCTTGTGTTTCTTCTAAATTCGTCTTTATTATCCTTTTCTTTTACTGTATTGCTGCAGATCACTTCCAAATGCTCTTGATGGAGACGATCCAGATGCCGAAAGTTCTGTAGCTGGGAATGATGATGCTTTGAGACTACAGGAAGAGGAATGCAGACTCAATATTGAACTAGAAGCTGAGGAAAGAAAGCTTGAAGAAACTCTGGAATATCAAAGACGTATCGAAAATGAAGCAAAACAGAAGCATCTTGAGGAACAGCATAAGACGATATCCAGAACAATTCCTGAGAAGATGGAGGCAGTTGCAATACTTGATACTGACTTGATGCACAACTATGATGTCCAATATGCCAATGAGCGATGGACAAATGGCAAGGTGAGGATGTCTGTTCCAAAGGTCTCCACGTTGGAATTACTGCTGCTACCTATTTTTGGCTTATGGCTAATCATTATGAAATGAGTGTAATGCTGCCTTTATATTAGTTCAAAATGTTATATTAATTCCTTTTTGAGCAAGAGAAATAATCGTTATTTAAACATACTGAAATTTATGAGCTTGCATTTCTAGGAAACCTTAATACAGAAGGGTGAATTTACGATGGACAATGGAGGAATTCCGAAAGATGGTGGTTTACCTTCTGACCGAAGCTCACGAAGGAGAGGTAGACGGCAAAAGACTCCGACTAGATTAAGTGATGGAAAGTATCAACCAGTCTCTTCAGAAAAGCAAAATACTGAAGTTAGTCAACTAAGATCTACCCACACGGTCCCTGAAGGAAGCTGTACGTACTCACTAAAATTACAACTTCTTGGCTTGCTATATTGGACTTTTTCTCTGTAAATTGAATGCTTCTATAGTCAATTTTTGATCCATGAGTTTGTTACCATATAGTGTGTTCATAACTCTGTCTTGGTAAAAGATGAATTACAAAAAGTTAGATCCACCTTTTGTCCTGGACACCTTAATTCTCCCTTATTTTTCTGATGAAATCCATGAATCCTGAAACTCTTTAGTTTCATTTCATTTTGGGTGTACTCTCTCTCTCTCTCTCTCTCTCTCTCGTTTTGGTTGGTATGGACTATGGAGGTATTGAAACAATGAGAGAAGTGGCTCTATTATTTCCCAAAGCTCCATTGGATACCAAGGCTTTTTTTTAAACCTCTGGACAAGTTAATAAATAATTAAAAATAATATTAAAACACAAAAATATGCTCATAATAAACCTTCGTGATGATTTACAAACAAACAAAAACAAATAGGTAATTAATGATCATTAAGTTCTCAAATTAGTAAGGAAACAAAATTGCAATCTATTATTAGAAATAGAAAAAACCTAGAAGTCTCTCGTATCATCGCTACTAATATTCTTTTTAAGAGAATAATCAACATATATGATTTCATCATCATCATCTTCATCATTTTATTTCTTATCATTCTTCCTCCCCTAGCAATGATGACTCTTTTTGAAGGCAGAATAAAGAAGACAAAAACCTATACAATGTTTTAGACACGAAAAAAAAGTAGCTTGAAAAGCTGAGCCCAATATAAATTTCTAGAAAAGTCAAGACAAATGAGTTCAACCCTTAGTTGAAGCATCCATAAGACGAGGTGTAACCTTGAAAATGGTACTAAAGTGTTTGATGAAAGCCTTACTTGAGGTGTGCATCGAGGCACAAGCCTGAAACAACCTTTTTTAACAACCCTTTTAAATTTCTGTGTCTCTGGAGGAACCAAAAATATGGGAACATTCATGAAAGTTTTTTGTAATGTCAAGTATGTCCTGACTGAATGTTATGTAAGCTCTTTCTGTGTAGTCAGTAACAATATTTTGGTTATAAGTGGGCCCTTGTTGTACCTTGTACATTTTTTGTGCCACAGACACTCACTTTCCCAGAGGAAGGAGGAGGTTGTGTTCATCAATCGCCAAATAAATCACGCAATCATGGTTTTGAATGGAAAACTGGGAGAACTTTTCTGATTCCAAAATAAATATAATCAGACATAGGCTGATTCTGTGGTTGGTTGTGATTCTAATGTGGGAGAATCTTACTGGGTGTCATCTTTGTTCATATCGTTTAGGTAATATGTTTCATGGCACCTTGAATGGAAACATGTTCATTGTATTGGGGCTATAGCAGACATGATACTTAAATCTCATTATCAGCTTGCAAATTATTAATTAAAAAAGAAATACTACTGGCAAAACATGATGAGTTAACATTTGTTGATATCATGTGATTACAATTCGCTGTGGTTTTCTTGCTGTTTTTACTACTGCCATTTTAGTCGTAAAAGTTTAAAATTGGGAAGGGAAAAGAGAGTGATTGGAACGAATTTCATCAGATTTAAAAAAAAAAGCAGTGTTCTTGTTAATGAAATTCTGTTTTTGTCAAATGGATGCTTTATATAATGCTATAATACCACGGTTTAGAAACTGAAAAAAAAAAAAATTAAGATGGCCAGCTCTATGCTGCGAGGTTTAACAGATGTTCTTAATTTTGTTAATAAAAAAAGTGATGTAGCTGTGCTTTTTATGGATTGATGGACTTGTACAAGTTATTCTACTTTGCTTGAAGTTTTATTATTCTCTTGTAGATACTGGAACAAAGACATTGAGACAGCTACAAGCGGAGGATGATGATGAAGAGAGGTTCCAAGCTGACCTTAAGAAAGCTGTACGGCAAAGTCTTGGTATGTCTTGTCAACTTTTCCTGCTTTTAATTTCTAAATTGAAGCAACCCGGCAAATGAGTTAGCCAATTGTAAAATTATATTCAGTTCAAGTTAGTGATTTCAGGAGAAGAATGACCACACACAGTATCCATCTTTCCCCCATAATCCAAAATGCACTTGACATCAATTTGTTTTTCTGCTGAAATTACTAAGATCTGATTCATTTAACTCACGCTGAATGTCTTGTATATGTTTCTCCGTTATTTTCATATTTTTATATATTACCCTGTACGACTTTACACCTTAGCTTGATAGAGGCTTTCCCCTATTTATCTTCACCTTTCCTCTTTCTCGCATTTATTTTTTGTGGTTATTCTGCTGAGTTTGTTAACATACAATATGTTGTCCAAATTATTGCATCAGCATTGAGTTCCCAACTGGGTACTCCTTGGGTTTGGAGTTCGGACCCAAATATTATACACCATTCCTATATGTGTCCATGTTCTAAGTTCTGCTTTCTCTGATCTATTTTCTATGGTTCTGTTCCTTCGCTGGAGATGCACTTGATGCATGCTCTCTCTCTCCTAAAAGTTGAATTTGGAGGTTAGGTGTTTTAGGTCGTTTTGTTTATCCAACCCCAAGATTCCTGACTTCATTCAAACTAAGCCGTTGCTAAGTACATACAGATGCAAGATAAGCATATGAAATTGACTTCCTTATTTGTCGAGTTGCTTACATGTTCTTTTGTGTTGTGCTTCATATTTATGCTAGACACGTTCCATGCACATCGAAAACTGCCTTTGACGTCAAATTCACCAATGCCACAAAAGAAGCTCCCAGAAATCAGTTACACGGCTGTTTCATCTATTGAAGTCCTGAGTGATGGTGTTAATGGGACAGATGGATATGGTACAGGGCTGAAAAATGAAGTTGGTGAATATAATTGCTTTCTCAATGTCATAATACAGGTTGTCATTAGAGAGCATTTTATAGTTTGCTGTTTTGCTAAGATTTCTCCTTGTCTGTTTATCATTGTCTTGAAAGCAACATCTTTCCTGCCTGAGAATTCATTTCTTTTGGTTTTCAGTCCTTGTGGCATTTAAGACGTTTCCGAGAAGAATTTTTGAGATCTTCTTCGGAGCATGTTCATGTTGGTGATCCTTGTGTCATATGTGCTTTGTATGATATCTTCACGGCCCTTAGCAAGGCGTCCATAGATACACGTAGAGAAGCTGTTGCACCTACTTCTTTAAGAGTTGCTCTAAGCAATTTGTATCCTGATAGCAATTTCTTCCAGGAGGTAAATTACACTGCTGCTAATTTCATTAAAAAACATGTTTCTTCATTTCCCAATAGATAATTGATCAGAAATCATTGTCCGTTAATATTATGACAACCTTCAGGGTCAGATGAATGATGCTTCAGAAGTGCTGGGGGTTGTATTTGATTGTCTGCATCAATCATTTACTCCTGCACCTTCTGTGTCTGATACTGAATCGGTAGATAGCAACTGTGTGGGCTCCTGGGATTGCACAAATGGTTCTTGTGTTGCACACACACTTTTCGGAATGGACGTATTAGAAAGAATGAATTGTTACAACTGTGGTTTGGAGTCCAGATATTTGAAGTACACATCTTTCTTCCACAATATTAATGCCAGTGCTCTCAGAACAATGAAGGTACATAGATTCTTGTATATCCTCAGCTCATTGAGGGGAAAAAAATGCTTACTTTTATGATAATGCTTATTCTGATGGTGGAGTAAAATGGAAAATTTACAGGAATTTTATGTTTGCCATAATGGTCAATTTATGAACTGCAGTTAGTTAAATTTTCATCTTTACCTTGTAGGCTATGTGCCCAGAAACCTCTTTCGACAAGCTCCTAAACCTTGTTGAAATGAATCACCAGTTAGCTTGTGATCCAGATGATGGTGGCTGTGGGAAGCTAAACTATATTCACCATATTCTCTCAGCGCCGTCCCATGTTTTCACTACAGGTGACTTTCCAGTTTCATTTTTTTATCTATTTGTTATTTTAGGTAGTGCGCCAAAAGATGGCTCAGAAGTTAATTGAATCAACACTTCATTTCTACGAGCCACTAATATATTACATTTTCCATGTTTTCTAGTTCTGGGTTGGCAGAATACTTGTGAGAGTGTCGAAGACATAACAACAACATTAGCGGCCTTGTCAACTGAGATTGATATAAGTGTCCTTTATCGCGGTCTTGATCCAAAAAATAAACATTGCGTGGTTTCAGTGGTAAGCTTTCTTAGCCCTTGTTTGGCACTTGTTTAATTATAAACAATATCGGTCAAAACTACTTTTTATCCCCAGAGGACCCATAAGTACACCTACTTATCCAACTCTTATTTCTATCTATTTATAATTTAAACCGATTATAATCTATAACCAAACAAGCTTTTAATCTTCTCCTATGTAGTTCGGGTTTTCTATGTTTTTCTTTTATTGAACCTTATAAAAGTGGTAGAGCTTAAGGAGTGAGAGCTTTATTTTTCTTCTGCATGTATGTTCTTTGCAAAGAATGTGTATGGTCTCGAGATCTCGTGCAAGGACATTGCCCTAACTGATCCAAAGTGCAGTGAGTGCCAATGTCCTGTAAAACCCATTCATAATGTTTTCAAATTTAATTATTTTGTGTAGATAAATGAATTTTCCGTACCTGAAATTAACCATGTATTTGTGTAAATTGATTTATTTATTTTGGTTAAAACACTGTCAAAGCCTGGGCAAGATGTTTAGGTATACATCTAGAACCAATGGGGTGGTGCAGAACGGGGGCTTAACCACCTGACCTTTTTTTTTTTTTGATAGGTAACCACCTAACCTTCAGATTTACATAGAGGGGAGACAAATAGTTTGGGAAAAAAAATGACGTACTACGTCACTTAGAGAATATCAAGATAACTAAGCAAAATCAAGCCTAAGCAGTCCTACAATTTTTCCTCTTCTAGTCTTCAGCATGGAATATCTTATTATCTTCTCCTGAAAAAAAAGAAAGAAAGAAATGAGAATAATTTTCTCCATACCAAAGCATTCTGATGTTAAACAAGTTTGAAGTCACCCTCTTGTTGTAGACTCAAGTTTACTTAATTGTTTTCTATCGTTGGAACTTTTTCATCTCTAGGTTTGCTATTATGGGCAGCACTATCATTGTTTTGCTTACAGTTACGATCATGAACAGTGGATCATGTATGATGACAAAACAGTAAAGGTATAATTGCCTGATTCTCGCTGTGTATTATATCATTCTTTCTGTTGTTTGTCATTCATCTATACTTCATGTCTAGGTAATTGGTGGCTGGAATGATGTTCTTATGATGTGTGAAAAAGGACATCTACAACCCCAAGTCCTCTTTTTTGAAGCAGTAAATTAACAATCTTTACGTTAATACAACGAAGATATGGGGTTCAGCATCGTCTTGAGCACAGTGATGCACTGACAAATTCTGGCTGTGCACTGAGTCAAGCTTGCAAAATCTTTACTTCTTGAACTTGCAATGCTGATAACAAGCTCAGAATTGTATTATAAAGTCAAGATTTCTGTTATATGATGAAGAGAAATAGCAATTACCTATCAGAGACGAGAAAAGTTTGATAATGTTTTGTTTGAAGATTGGAAAATCAGAAATAGGTTTTGGTGCTCATGATACTCTGGGACAGCGAGTCTATATGGTGTTTTCTTAAAATTCCGGCATCTTTCCAATCTGGTATGGTCGAAGACTGAGCCGTAAAAATAACAACCACCTGGGTTTTTTGTTGGAGCATGTGAAAGTCAATTTCTCAATGGGAACTATCCTGGATGGTCGATGGATACTACAATTGTACATAGAAAATTCTTGTACTTAGGTTCAAATCTCTATTATTTTCTGATACAAGGAAGTTATGTATAGATCAGATCTCGACGCCATGGGTGAGTTACCTGTGGCCTAGGTAACGTCTCTCTTAGTTTTCATTGGGAAATTTTTTGCACAAGTCAGTGTCAAGATGTCTTCAAATGTTATGATACGATGTTGATGTTGGCAAAAATTAATGATATGAATATACTTTTGATCTGCTTTAAGGTTTTGAATTGCGACTTTCCAAGTATATGGTTGGATTTAGTGCAATAACATGTATATCATGGTTTTGATTTTCTCGATTTGAGAGGGCGACAAAAGTGAACAAGTGGTATTATTCCTTATATTTCTCATTTTATGAAAGCGTGACAGCTTTATATTTTAGATTTTCAACTACCCTTCTTGATCTTGAAATATATTATCATTGAAAATTAATCCCTCTTCCATCCACACCATGGCATCCACATTTTGTCTAAGCCCTCCACCGGGTTTTGTTTGCTGACCGAGCCATGGGAATACAACTAGAAGAATCAGGTCTGTCATGCACTTTGGCCGCCTCCAACAGCACCTCAGCCAGCCGCCTCTTCCTGCCATGATGTACTCGATTTTGCTCTTACCAAATAGACCACAGCATGCCGCATGCCAACTCAAACTAGTCACTGGGAAGTCTATGATAAAGTTCTCCACTAAAGTGACATCGGAAGAACGCATGCAAGTTAAATTCAGCTAGATGAGGGACGCCCCAATGAAACATGGATCTTCCTACATGCAAATTTTGAAATAGTAAGTAGGGAAATGTGAAAAGATCTTCAGATAAAGATCCAGATTTTTGCTGTGAGATGAAGTTTCCAGAGAGTTTTTCACCAATGAGATAGGCTGTTAGAGCTTGGTCACTCCGGGTCCGGGGGTAATTGTTAGGTGGGAGTCCGATCTATAGAGATTCGTACGTAGCGTCACTCCTTTTATAAATCTCGAGGTGTTCATGAATCTCCCTTAGCTTGATAGGGGAAGATTTTTGGCACAGTAAAATTTTTATTTTTTTTGTGTGGTGGGGGTGAGGGGGGGGGGGGGGGGNGGGGGGGGGGGGGGGGGGGGGGGGGGGGGGGGGGGGGGGGGGGGGGGGGGGGGGGGGGGGGGGGGGGGGGTGTTGGGAATTGATCTCCATTGAAAAGTCCTTGGTGTCGCCATCCTGATGCGCAGTCCTGATCTGGCCTTCCTTCATCATCATTTGGGGCCTCTACTCTGGCATCCGAGAAGGCAGGGGTGACAACATTTGGAATTCCACTACTTTCTCCCATTTCGCGGCCTTAGCAGCTCTTCCTTAGTGCCTATTTCGAGACGCCTGACTTTGTTGACACCTCTTTCTAGGCATTTCCTCCTGTGACCTATCTCTAGGAGGACTTCCAAGTCCGTCAACATGCAGACAGACTTCGCTTGACGAGGATCCTTCTCGTAAGTAGGTGGGAACTCAGGTTCCTCCTCAGGTTAGCCTACTGCATGGAGGTGTTGAGGCTCGAACCTGTGATATATGATGTGCTCCCAACATTGGCTTAAAATCGTGTTTTGTTGGATGTGTTTTTCTTAAGTGATGCACTTATTATGAGATGGTAACACGTGGGTATTTTCCGGCCCTTGGATTGCTGCCTTTATGGTGTGTGATATAAATGGTGCACGGTGGAAGATATTTTTCACTTCTTCTGCCTTTTGGAGTTCTTCGTTTCTTCTGGGTTCTTCTGAGAGTCCCTTTTCTGTAGATTAGGGTTTGAGTCCTTCGTGTTTTTCATCTCTCATGATGAACTTGTAAATACTGAGATCATACTTGTCGATTAGCCTCTGTGATATGTTATTGTAAACAATTGCCGTGAGATTAGGGTTTTCTTGTAATCTTGGTTTCAGTTGGCTGTTTGTGGGGTTTCTTTGTGATTCCTTCTAGATCTGCAGTACTGTAAAAGAGATAAGTGTATTGTGCTTCATTCTCTTGTATTTGGAAGAACTATTTGTAACTTGTTGTCATTTTGGGCTTATTAGTGCAACAGAGCGAATATCCATTATTTGGATGCTTAACGGGGGATGTAGGCGTTGGATTTGGTCGCCGAACCTCCGGGGCTTAGGCCGAAACAATTCTCTGTGTTCAATCTTTACTTTTCTCCAAAGTTTATTTTTTGATTTGTTGGAATTTTGTTTTAATATCGTGTGTTTGTGCCTTTTTAGTCGTATCAGAGCCTAAGCTGAGAACAAGATACATGGATCTTTGTAGAAAGTGTTTGATCTGTTGCACATCACAAAATTTTTGGAACTGCTGTTAAGCAAGTCTTAAAGATATTGAGTTTTTTGAAACTTGTTGGATGAGATCTTTCTAACTCTTGTAAAGTTTCTTTTAAATTAGGGTTTTTCGATTTTTCCCTTGATCTACCATACACCAAAACCCCATGGAGACTAATCTTTGTCCACAGACTCGTACGAGGTCTTGAGAATTTGAGATAAATCTAGTACGGGGGTGTATCTGGAGGATCTTGTAGGAGAATCTATGAAACATAGATTTTGTGATCTATGTTAGTGTGTCTTTTGATTGAGCTTGCTCTGTATGATCCTTGATTGTGATTGAAACTGTAAAATCTTGTATTGCTAAGTGTACTACTGTGATTTTAAGCTACTGTAATTGCTGTGAGTCTCTGATTGTGCTTTACTAATATCCTGAACACCTATTTGTGTATCATATTGTTAATTCAAATGGCTTCTGCTAAGTTTGAAGTTCCACAATTTGATTATAGGTGTGACTTTAATATTTGGTGTCAAAAGATGAAAGCAATTTTAATGCAAATGAGAGTTGCTAGGGTTCTTGATAATAGTTGGCCTTTAGACTTGTTTCCTGCTAAGAAAACTAAACTTGAAGAGGTTGCATGAAGTACTATCTTTTGTACTTATCTGATAATGTTGTTAGAGAAATTGGTGAAACCAAGACTGCTTCTGAACTATGGGCTAAACTGCATGCTAAATATGTGACTAAGACAATTCATAATAAATGTTTTCTGTTGAAACAATTCTTTCTTTTAAGATGTACCCTTCTGTTGATTTGGATGAAAACTTAAATAGATTTACCAAGCTGACCCAAGACTTGGTCAACTGTGATGAAAAGCTTTCAAAAGATCAGTTGGCTGTTGTCCTGTTAAATTCCATTAGTGACAAATATAGAGACATCAAGGTTGCTCTTGAATATAGTAGGGCTCAGATTACTACTGATGAGATCATTAGTGCTTTAAGAAATAAAGCTCTTAAATTTGAGACAAAATGTCATTATGGGGATAACCTGGTGGCTAAGGGAAAAGGGTTTGGTAAGCCTAATTTTCACCTAAAGTCCTTAAATGAAAATAAGAACAAGTGGCATGATAAAAGTAAATCCAAGAATAAAGCAAAAGGCAAGAAATGTTATCATTGTGGTAAGATGGGTCATCTTGTTAAAGATTGTTACAAGAAAAAGAATGAAGCAAAATATAAGGCTTCTGATGATGGTCTGTAATGAAAATAATATTGAAGATGATTTAGTCCTTGTTAATAATGAAAAGAAGCTAAGTGAATAGTGGATACTTGATTCAGGCTGTTCTTTCATATGTGCCCCAATAAAAATTGTTTTCTTGATTTTGAAACTATCACTGGGGGCAGGTAATAATGGGGAACAATATGACTTGTAAAGTTAAAGGAATAAGAACTGTTAAATTGCTTCTAGAAAATGGCAATGTTCTATTCTTGAAAGATACAAGATATGTACCTGAATTAGAGAGAAACCTGATATCTCTAGGCATGTTGGATGACATGGAGTTTGTAATAAAATTGGGTCAAGGACATATTAAAATTCTTAGGGGATTTGACTTGGTCATTAGCACCCCTAAGAGACATGTTCTTTATTTTTTGAATGCTAAACATTTACTTGGCTTAACTGCTGCTACTTTATTTGAAACCTTTACTTTAGCAAAATTATGGCATGAAAGACTTGACCACATTGACAAGAAAAATTCAAAGTCTTTACAAAATAAAGGAGTTTTTGGAAAACAAAACCTTGGTAGTTTGATTCCTGTGAACAGTGTGTTATTGGCAAACAAGTCAAATTATCTTTCTTACCTGAAATTCATAAATCCAAACAAAAACTTGAATATCTGCATGTTGATCTGTGGGGTCCTGCCTCTGTGACTACCTTAACTGGTTTTAGATATTATCTTTTTATCATTGATGATTTTTCTAGAAAAATCTTGGTTTTCTTATTAAAATCAAAAGATGAAACATTTTCTGTTTTCAAGTATTTAAAAACACAAATAGAAAACCAAACTGATCATAAGATAAAGACTCTAAGAACAAACAATGGTTTGAAATTTTGCAATTATGAATTCAATAATTTCTGCAAAGAACATGGTATTTTGAGACATAGAACAATTGTTTACACTCCTCAACAAAATGACATAGTTGAAAGAATGAATAAAACTTTATTAAATAAAGTGAGATTCATGCTTTTGAGTTCTGTTTTACCTAAATTGTTTTGGGATGAA